AGATCCTTATTCACACCCCTTCCTTCTCTCTCTCTCTCCCTCTCTCTCTCTCTCTCACATGCACACACATGTATAAATTTATTACTGCTTACCCAGTATTTCAAGTTCACTAGGCTTCAGACTTTATGTGCAACTGCATCAAATTTCCCAGTCAGCCGAAAGAGATGTTAGCATGTTCTTTGCAAACACATCGCCCGGGATGCTCCACACCTGGGAAGAAACCCATAACACAATGGGAAACACGCCTCACTCCTGCTGCTTTCAGGCAGACAGCTGCTGCCAAGCGGTTTGTATCAGAGCGGGAAAGTTTGGAGTCTGAGCAAAACCAAACCTGAGTTGTTTGGGAGAAGGAGAAAGTTCTGGTGTTCAAGTCAGCAACAGGTACAATTACAGAGCTGTGGAGAAAAGGGAACAGAGCAGGAGTTTTACCTCAGTCCTCGTTTACAACCAGAGGAAGACATGTGCCAAAAGGATGTGGTTGCCGGGTTAATTATTGACACGTTTTTTTTTATTTTATTACAAAAAGAAAAATAATCTGATGTAATAGAAATCCTGTCAACATAAAAAAAACAAACACATTTCAAACGTTGGCATGCTATCATGACATATATACTCTGTCTGTATTATACAGAATATTAGTGAGCAGCTCTTATAACATTCATACAACTCTCAAACTTCCAAATTAAATCCTCAGTCATATGCATGAGTTGAACCGACACTTCTAACTAGTCCCCTGTACAGTTGTTTACTCCTTCCAGTACCTACCAGCAGCTCCTCTGTCCATCTATCAGCCAGTCTTTCCTGGCCTTCAGGTCCGACCTTTGCCAATTCCAGACTCACCTCGCTCACCCTGGGAACTCTCGCTCCGGCGCTCCTGCTGTCCCGTTTTCTGCCTCTTCGTTCAGAACTCCTAAGTGGCCTCGAAATAGAGAGAGGGAACAGAACACGCAATGGAGAAGAGGAGAGACAGAAGAGGCTGTGGTGAAGGAGAACGCCCCATGCACTCACACTCACCCCCCCACCCACCTTTCCTTTTTTCTCTCTCTTTCTCTCCCTCTCTCATCTCTGTACCAAGAGAAAACCGGTTGGGTTGGTCCTCCCCTTGAGGAACACAAACACTGAGGCCCGGGCAAGTTCTCCCTTGATATTCCTGTTCTACTGAAATCCCACAGAACTGGTTAAACCGGTTCCAGAAAGCCCGCGGTGATAAAGGGACAGAAGTAAGCAATGAAACAGAAATATCCAATGTAGGCACCAATGACTGTTTATCTAAACCAGGGGTTATTAAAAACTGGTGTGACGATGGAATTAACTAAATAATTGAACTTTAATGTAAATTTAGGAGTTAAAATGTCAGAGCCCAGCTTAACGTCAGCTGATAGCCCCGGGTTCTCAGACAACAAGGAGGGAAACAGTAACAACACCAAGGGAGGACAATTCAGTTATTTAGCTCTTTTTTTATTCCCCAACGGAATAAAATGCTCCGTTTTCTTGTTTGCATAAAATAACAATAAAAATATTAAAATGTCCAAATCAGAACAAACTAAAATTGTCCAAGAGGGCCAACATCC